TTATGGGGAAGACAGACATGAAGCAAATAGCCACACAGACATGTAGTACACGTCATGGTAAGTGCTGTCTTTAGAGCAAAAGTACAGGTACTCTGAGCCATGGATTAGGAGGGTAGAGCCAAATCTGAGAAGGTCAGAGAAGGCTGGCATCTCAGGTGAAGGGCATTCTGGGCCAAGGCTGTGGAACAGAAGCTACCTGTCCTCCAGGGAATTGAGGGCTGGTCAGTGTCATGGCAGGTGCTTCTGAATGAGAAGACTGAGGTTGAATATCTCACTTCTGCAGAGTCAGGAGTACAAGTAGATCATCTGATGCTCTAGTTTTCTGTTTACCCCCACATCTAGGGACATTTACTCAGACTCTTGGACTTGTGACATTTGTGCAGGTAGAATTACTTCCATCTTAAGGAGAGTTTTGGCCCACCTCCACATGACCCCTCTCGGTGGGCTCAGGGTCTGTTGTCACCTGTACCTCCAGGTCTTCACCAAATGCCCTACATTGGCCTCTCCATGAACCAAGCAAGGTCATTTTTATTGTTCCTTTTTCTTTTTTTTTTCTTTTAATTTTTTTTTAACGTTTATTTATTTTTGAGACAGAGAGAGACAGAGCATGAACGGGGGAGGGTCAGAGAGAGAGGGAGACACAGAATCTGAAACAGTCTCCAGGCTCTGAGCGGTCAGCACAGAGCCTGACGCGGCTCGAACTCAACGGACCACGAGATCATGACCTGAGCCGAAGTCAGACACTCAACCGACTGAGCCACCCAGGCGCCCCAGTATTGTTCCTTTTTCTAGAGCACTGCTTCTGTTCACTCAACATAGCTTAGGAAGATTGGTTATGATTTTAAAATCGTGGACATGATCAAAAACTAGCCTAAGATGAAATTGTATACAACAGTAAGATTTCAGCTATATAAAAATTTATGCATTTAGGAAAGACTGGAAGGAGATAAATCAAAATGACGGTGATGTCTAGTTGGTAGGATCTTAAGTATCTTTTTACGCCTCTCCCCTTCATTTCCTAGATGCTATTTAATAAATATTTAAATTAGAAAGTAATATTGAAATACTATTAAATATTTAATAAATATTTAAAATAGAAAGTAATATTGAAATAATACTAGGGGAATATGGTATCTCTTCATCATCACACAAATCTTTGATATTTCTTTAATGTGAACAACAGACTCACAGGGGCTTTTAGAAGTGTTTTAAATATGAGCTACAGAAGCACTGGGTAAGAGTGATAGGATGGCACAAGACAAAGCATTTGTCAAAGCATTTCTGTTGGGTGGAGATTTTTATTTTAAACAGAATTCTGTTGTCATGGAGTCTAGGGAATGCTGGCTCAAACAAAGTTAGGCAAGTTTCTCCACCACCAGACTTCTGTGAAGCATTCACTACCTAGTGGGTTTTATGAACCAGGAGAGAGAGAGAGAGAGAGCACATTCAGCTTTCCCCATACTTCTGGGAAGGTTTATTTGCCTGGATCCTTGCAGGCTTTGTGCTCGCTGGAACATGCACTGGAAATGCTGCTGTGAAAAAGAAACAAAAGGCGGTGGCCACCTGGGCCCCACATGGGTCTCCTAAGGCCTTCACTATCTGGACTTGTTAGGCAAGTTGTCAAATTGTACCGGACATAGTTTCTCATCTATCAAATACAAAGATTAGATGGAATGAACTTCTAGCTCTAAGATGGGAATGTGTAAAAATGCTGACAGTTTTGTAACAATGAAAGGCAGACTTCCAAAATGTTCAAACAGAATGTTCATACAATCAAGCTTTATCTGTCCCTCAAGCAGCAAGCAATGCCAATTCTTTACTCTGCAAACCACTTGCGAAGACAAAAAATATTTGGCACCGTTCAACAGATTAGCATTCCAGTCTGCTGTATACACAAGGTGAAATGTCCTCAATGCCTGTGTTACAGTATACACTCCACCTTCTCAAACACTTGACAAGCGAAATGTAGTGAAAACAATCGTTTCTTAGCCACCTCCCTGTGTAAGGCCTTCGAGAAGCAGGCTGATAGAAGTAAGGCTGATTCCTTTGCTTTACTGGAAGAGTGACCTTCATGTCAACAAAGAATAGAATGTCCTGATTCCAGATAGAGGCTGCTTGCTGCTGCTGCTGCCTTGATAGATTTTATCATCTGCTGCTGTGGTTGGAACATTTTCTGGCGGGAAGGATTCACGGACCCTGCTAGGGAACAACAGAATTTTCTGCTGTGCAACCTCTGAGACTCTTTCTCCACTCTAGGAGGCTTCCCATGGTTCCAAAGGCCCCAGACCCCAGGCATTCCCCTCTCTGCCAGCAGTGGTCAATACCTAAGTCAATTCGTGGTTTCCTCTCACTGCAAGCCTGCTTGCAGAGGAGTCTGTCCAGCTTGCTTTCTTGCCAAGCATACAGGCATTTTTCTTTTTAAGGGCATAATGCTCATTGCCACAGGGAGTCCTGCTGTGTGTAACTAAGCTGAGAACACTGTGGAGGTTATGGAGGGTCAAGGATCCTCCCGCTGCTGCACACTGATACTCCCTAATCTGGAAAAACAGAATAAAGCTTGACACCTCAGCAGAGTCCACTTGTAGCTCTTCCCAGTGGTCCAGGGAGGTCTCTTGAATCCTCATTCTTGTCTTCTTTTCTCCCTGGAAGTTCTTATGTTCTTACCAAGTAATAAGACAGTGGGAGAGGATATATATAAAACAGCTGCTGCGGGGCGCCTGGGTGGCGCAGTCGGTTGAGCGTCCGACTTCAGCCAGATCACGATCTCGCGGTCCATGAGTTCGAGCCCTGCGTCAGGCTCTGGGCTGATGGCTCGGAGCCTGGAGCCTGTTTCTGATTCTGTGTCTCCCTCTCTCTCTGCCCCTCCCCCGTTCATGCTCTGTCTCTCTGTCCCAAAAAAATAAAATAAAAACGTTGAAAAAATAAATAAATAAAATAAAAAAAATAAATAAAACAGCTGCTGAGCTGAGCATTATCAAGAGGCAGACCACACTTTGAGGTCCACAGTAGCAAAGTGTGATGAGAGTGATTGGCTCACATTTTAGAAATGCTTCCTCTTTTTCTCTTCCTTCTGCTTCCCCGTTTGCTTTCCTTCATGTTTCTCTCTAGTATAGGGCTGATAAATAAAAGTACATGTGCTGTCATGCTGTCCTCACAAAATCATGGCAGACATTGTTATTCAATCATGGCATTTTTCCTGATTGAACTTAGGGATGTAACCAAAGATGAAGATGAGATGATCAAAAAGGGCACTCGGGGGCTGCCTGGGTGGCTCAGTCAGTTAAGCGTCCAACTTCGGCTCAGGTCATGATCTCACAGTTTGTGCGCTCGAGCCCCGCATCGGGCTCTGTGCTGACAGCTCAGAGCCTGGAGCCTGCTTCAGATTCTGTGTCTCCCCCTCTCTCTGCCCCTCCCCTGCTCATGCTCTGTGTCTCTGTCTCAATAATAAAGAAATGTTAAAAAAATAAATTAAAAAAGGCATTTGGCAGTCTACTCCTAGGTCGATATCCGAATGAAATGAGAGCTTATATCCACAAAATGACATGTGCAAGAATGTTCCTGGCGGTTATATGCCCAGTAGTCCCAAACTGGAAACAACTCAAATGTCCACCAAAAATAGAATGGATAAAAATATAGTGCATGCAGTAAAAAATGAAATATTCCACAGCAACAAAAAGGATGAACTATTGCTGCACACAGTCTGGAAGCATCTGAGAGACAGTATAGAGGAAAAGAAGCTACCCATAAAGGAGACACACAGTGTGAGTCTCTTTACCGCAGCTCAGAAATAAGCAAAACTCACCTGTGGTGATAGAAATCAAGACAAAGGTTACCCTCAGGAGAAACTGACTGAAAGGGGCACTAGGAAGCCTTCTCAGGAGTAGAAAATGTTCTGAATCTCGATATTGGTGGTGGTGTATATGGATGTGCACATATGCAAAAATTCATTGGGATGCACACCTAAAATCTGTGCACTTGGCTGTAGTTACCCCTTGTTAAAAGCCTTTAATAGGGGATCAGTTTGAGAGCTGTTGTTCTGACCTTGCTCCTGTGTTTGTCTGTATATACAGCATGAGGTCTTGGGTGTGACTGTGATCCAAATCCAGGCTCTGTCACCTATTGGCTCTGTATCTTGAGTAAATTACTTAACCTCTTTGTACTTTAGTTTCTTACCTCTATAGCACGGATAAAAAGAGTACCTACACTACAGCACAGTTTTGACAGCACATCTCCCTGGTACATTTAACGTACTCATGAAATGTGATGTGAGGACTTTGTTCTTTCCCCCTTTCTCCTCTGACCATCTAGTTCTTTCTCATACTGACTTCTCCCCCTGTCTTCCCATCATCTTTCTTCCTTTATTCTTGCTTTCATACCCCCTAGATGCAAAAGCCCAAAACATGAAAATACATATTTTAAAAGTTTTATTGAATACAATATATAGTTATATTCATAATTAAAAAGCAAACACGCTTAGTATTTTCCATGTGTCTCTTCCAAAGCCCAGGCCACATACCAGACCAATTAAGCCACATATCTGGGGATGGAACACGGGCATCAGTAGCCTCTGAGGCTCTCTAGGTGATTCTGACATGATTCCAGTGTGTACATAAGTTTCGGCACTGCTGGTTTCATGGCTGTCTGTTCCATCCATATTGTCTTAGCTGCTTCAGCATATGGTTCTGATTCCTGGCTGGCCATTAGAATCACCTGAGAAGCTTCTAATTCATACTGAGTCTCAGGCCCCATCCTGGGTAAGGCCTGGATATTTCTAATGTGCAACCAGCATTAAGAGCCACTGTTCTAGAGGGATTGGTATCCTGGTAGGTCTTGTGATCAGGGCGACACCAGGCATACCCCCTCCACCCCCATGTCTGTCTTGAATTAAAATCCTTCTCTTCGTTTTTGAAAACTCCTATCTTTGTCTCCTTTCTGTTGCAAGCTGAGTATGGAGAAGAATATTGTAATGCTGATAAATTCTTGATATGTTTTACTCTCAGTATGGGATTGTGCTGGATGCAGGCTCTTCTCACACGAGTTTGTACATCTATAAGTGGCCAGCGGAAAAGGAGAATGACACAGGGGTGGTGCACCAGATAGAAGAGTGCAAGCTGAAAGGTAAGATGAAGGAGAAGGGGGGACGGGAGACAGTGGGGCATGAGAACATGAGGAGAACATACATGAGAACATGTGTGGCAAGTGGAACACATGAGAAAAAGGAAGTTGGGTAAAAGAACATAGTGGAGCTGCTGTTGTTGCTATTTTATTGTCATTATAAAAATAATATTGAAATCAGTCCTTAATGATGGAGCCCTTGAGGAAGAAACAAACTTTAAAACCCTTGAGTAATATGGTAGCTCCCATCACCTGGACACTTCTGTGTGCCATGCACCAAGTGCTGTAGATGCATTATTTCATCTTCACGGTCTCCCTTTGACATATGGAATATTAGTCCCATGGTTTAAAAATGAGGATCAGGTGCCTGGGTGGCTCAGTTGATTAAGTGCCCAACTCTTAGTTTTGGCTCAGGTCATGATCTCATGGTTCATGAGTTCAAGCCTTGTGTAGGGCTCTGCGCTGATAGCACGGAGCCTGCTTGGAATTCTCTGTCTCCCTCTCTGCCCCTCCCTCACTCATGCTATCTCTTTCTCAAAATAAATAAACTTTAAAAAATAAAATAAAATAAAATAAAATAAAATAAAATAAAATAAAATAAAATAAAAATGAGGGCATTGAGCTTAAGAGGGGTTATGCCACTTGTTAAGGTTGCTTTGAGCTAGTAATTGATGGAACTGGGGTTCAAATGGAGATCTGCTCAACTTTGAACCCACGACTTCTCCAGTGGTTCTCAAATTTGAATCTTTAGCAGAGCCCCCTGGAGGGTTTGTTAAAACACTGATGCTGGGTTCATCACTCAAGTGAATGAACCCAGTTTCTGAAGTGAAACTCCACTTCAGAAATTTTAGGTACTGGCCATGATCACATAGCTAGTTAGTAGCGGTTCCTGTCTTTTCAGTAAAAGCCAGTGTACCTTGTGCTTGTTTTAATTTTTCTAGGCATTAGTGTTAGTTACAACTTTACAGAAGAATCATCAAAAAGCAGCTCTCTAGGGTAGCTGTCTGTGAGATCCCCATTAAACTTTGAGAGAACCTGTAAGGAAGATTACGCAATTGAATGTGAAAATTGCGCCATCCAGCGGCAAAATTATTGAACAGTGGACAGACCCAGTCTGAGGCCTGAAAATAGATCTTATCAAGGCCAGGTTCAGAGAGTCACCCTCTAAGTACACCAACTTAATATATCGTAATATATCACATCATATATAACTTAATATATCACACCAAAAAGCTGTCTTCTTTGATGGTCTCTAAAGACACCAGTGTTTTGCTCTAATATTATCAAAGTGTGTCCTGTACTTTTAAAAAAGATTGTCATCTGCTTCTACATCTTTCCTTAGGTCCCGGTATCTCAAGATATGCTCAAAGATTAAACGAAATAGATGCTTATCTGACTGAATGCATGGAAAGAGCCAGTCAAGTGATTCCAAAGTCCCAGCACCAAGGGACGCCTGTTTACCTGGGAGCTACGGCAGGCATGCGGTTGCTCAGGTATAGCAACAGGTGGGGACAAAGAGGGCTGGGGGTTAGGCTTGGCATTGTGAGAGCCTCTGAAGTTACACCTCCCTAACACCCCAAATTTAGATATCCTTAATGGCAACACTTTAGAAAGAAGATCTCAGGAAGTGGGTAAAACTCCCAAATTCTTAGTATGTGTAATGGTGGGAGTTTAAAGTATGATTTTAAAAAGTCCTCTTGCCCGTCTGCCCCCAGAGAATTCAAGGGGGCAGGGGCACAAAGAGAGAAATGTTGAGCCTCTGTACTCTGGGATTTGAGACTACCAATTTAGCTATCCAATATCTGGGAGGAGGAAGACCAGAGGAGACCCACAGAGGTCCCAAGACACAGATAGTCACAACTAGCACATCTTCATTGGTCACCACTGAGTACCCGTGTGCGTTATCTTTTGTTCGTTCATTCATTCATTCAGCATGTTTTGCCTGCCTACTCTGTCCTGGGACATGAAAGTAGGTGACTCAGCTCTCAAGGAGATCAGAGTTTCGATACAGGCAATCAGTTCTTCAACAGAGGAGTGTTCAGAGCTGCTGTGGGAGCACATTTGGCCCTGCCCAGAATGGGAGGAGGAAACACAGGAACTGATTCATGAAGGACAAGCTGGAGGGTGGGGGAAGGGCACATTAAAGGCAGAGAAGATGTCACGCATTCTATTACCTATGTTTCTCCAACATCTGTTATGTGGCAGACACTGTTCTAAGTGCTGGGGACACAGCAGTGAAGAGGACAGAGTCCCTGCCTTCCTGAAGCTTGCGTTCTAACAGAAGTGCAAATATAGGGATGAGTGAGAGACCAGGGCATATTCAGAGGACCATAAATAGTTCTGCATTGATAGAACATAGACTGCATATAGTAAAATAATAATAAAAACAATAGCAATAATAGCTATGAAGCAGCTTGTATTTGTTGAGCCATTACTATGTTAGTGCTGTGCTTTAATTTAATCATTATAACTCTTTGAGGAGGTATTATTGGCTATTCTTAGCCAGATAAGGGAGCTGTGGCATACACGTGTAGAGTAACTCACCCAAATTCACACACGTGGTAAATGGGAGGATCAGGATTCTAAGTGGAATTCTGAAGAGGCAGGGTCCAGCGCATGAAGTGCCTTGTGGGCCACACTGGGAGTTTGGTGTTCATCTGGGAGATAATTGGTAGCCATTACAGGATGGTACACAAATGACGACACTGGAAGAGAGGTGGATTGGGAGGGAGGAGAACTGGGGATGAGGCAGCCACAGGAAGGGTGTGAAGCTATTCAGATGAGTGATGAGAGGATTCAGCTGTGGTTGGAAGACAGCATTCTCTGACATAGAGGCTTTCAACATTGTGTAGTCTAGATCTCAGAAGCAGATGTATCCCATCTTCGTTATGACAACCCTGGAAGATTCCTTCTTTAGGTCTCAATGTCTCAAACAGACCCAAGAACTGAGATTCAATGTGAATAAGATTTTTTTTTCCCAGTCTGGCTCCAATGGAGGTTTGGTATCTGTCCCAGGACATTTGTCACCTGGTGTCTACTACAGCCCTAATTAAAAACCTCAAGCAGAGCCTGACTCTGGAACTAGCTAGAAGCCACCAGCAATGGCTAATGTAGCATTCGTCATCTATAGGTGTGGTGATAACCAATATCCAGCCATCACCGCCTCCCAAATTAAAATTACTTTGATAATATCTTGGAGCCAGGGAGCAACAACAAAAAATGGTACTTTAGGAAGAGCAGTCTATGTAGGGACTGGAAGGATTTGGATTTGGAGGGGGGGGAGCAAAAGACTAGCTCTGCCTCACCCAAAAGGAGGGCTCCTCAGACAGCTGTGTGTGAATCTCTATCTCTGTTTCTTCCAGCAAGTTATGGTTCGCTTCCTAGGAGTGTTGCTGGAAGCTCTGACTGAAATGAGTACCTGTAGTTATTCAACAAAACCGGTAAATTCAGCTCTTCTTTGTGCAGGATGGAAAATGAACAGTTGGCAGACAAAGTCCTGAGTGTGGTGACCAAGAGCCTCAACAACTACCACTTTGACTTCCATGGTGCTAGAATCATCACTGGCCAAGAGGAAGGTGCCTATGGCTGGATTACTATCAACTATCTGCTGGGAAAATTCACTCAGGTGATTATCTCACAGCACCCAAGGGAGGTAGCTCCCAGGAGGTCAGTGCCATTGCTATCTCAGGCAGGATTTGGATCGGTAGCCAGAATGAATGATGGATGAATGGATGAAGTAATTTATCCCCACAATTGCAAGGGTCACCAGCGGTATTCTGATGAATTTTAGTATAAGAACGTTTCCTCTTGGAGGATGAGGAAATCATACTTTCACCTTAGGGAGACAGAGAGGAAGTAAAAAATCTATCATTAAAAATAAAAATAGCAAATATTTGCCTAGTGCTGTGTGTCTTGTGCTGTGCTAAGCACTTTCCGTGTACTGTCTGATTCCATCTTCAGAACAATATGAGGAATTCCCTCATTTAGGAGTCTCAAATTGAGGCCTAGAGAAGGTAATTATTCTGTTCCAGGTCACATAGCTAATGAGCAAATGAGTGGAGACTTGAACTTGAGTCTTTTCAGCCCACATTCCTTGTTCATAAACACTGGCTATGCCACTTCTATGTTGCTGCAGTCTGAGCTCTATCTTCAAAGTCCCTTAACCTGCTGTTGATCTTATCCAGATTCAGGAGCCTTCAGTGACCTTTGTGTCACCTTATGCCCCCTTTTCTTCACCTTAGAAAGTCCCTGAGTCCAAGATATAGTGTGAAACAAAGGTGTCCAGAAACTGCTACCACTGATGACTGTACTCTCTTTCAGAAATTGAGTTGGCTCAACCTGAAGCCAAATGGAGGCAATTCTCAGGGAACCTATGGAGCTTTAGACCTTGGGGGAGCCTCTACACAAATCACTTTTGTGCCCCAAAACGAGAGGATTGAGTCTCCAAGCAACGCTCTGCACTTTCGCCTCTATGGCAAGGACTACAGCGTGTACACGCACAGCTTCTTATGCTATGGGAAGGATCAAGCACTCAGGCAGAAACTGGCCAAGGACATTCAGGCAAGTTTAACTGAATCCAGACCCACCCTCCCCACATCTGGGCCACCAGCCCCCACATCCTGTTGTTGTCTCTTTCTACTTCAGTAATTGGTCTGAACTTGGTTACTGTACTTTCCAAACCTTTTCAAACAGGATATCTAACTACATCTGGTCGACCCCTGTGAATCGTCCCATCCAGACATCACCTCCTGTGTTTGTTTACTGCACTGTCTCCAAGGACACAACTCAAATCCTTTCTTGGCAAATAATTTCTCACCCCTGTGGGCTTGACAGTGAAAACTACATGCTAGAGTATTGTTGGGGGATTGTGCAATTTATAAGCTCTTTAGCACTTTTTAGTCTCCATTTCCAACAAACTGCAGAAAACAGGGCTGTTAGAAACAACCTGGAGAGAAGGAGAAAAACACTCAGGGAAAACAGAATTTATCCATCAACACTTCAAGTCTTTTCCCCAGACGCTTTTTGTTTCTTGAAGACAAGAAAAGTTAAACACGCTCAAAATCATGTGAGTACCAGGCACACCCTGACACACACAGCAAGGATGTTACATCCAGCTGAGTCTTGTCTCCCCTGAAAGGGCAACCAGTTCCCTGCTCTCCTCCAAAGCTCTCACTCTGGTTCTCAGAAGCACTGTCAATAAGGCACCTCCCATTGGAATAGGAGCTACTGAGAGATACCTACTGAGCCCCAAGGCTCTACTAAGCCTTTTTTCATACCAGCCCCCTTTCTTCTCTTGAACATACTGAGGTGTGGGTATACAGTCATTTTGGTACTCCTGGCTTAAATGCTCTAAGGCATTTTCAGCTGTTGGAGCTTCTGATTTTTTGCTTGAAAGTGGGGATGGGGTGTGGGCAGACTCCTCCTGGAGAACTACCCCAGCTTGGACTTGTGAGAGCCTTGAGAGTTTTCCTTGTGAATCTTTCATTTGTACTAAGCACTAGGGGACATTCCAAAATAATGGCATTTCTTCCAGCTTGAACTCTATTAGCTTCCTATGAATAGTGAAAGTTCATTTACATCTGATACCACTTCTGGTGCCTATTATACAAATCTGACTATTCCTAAGGGTGAAAAAGGCATGGCAAGAGTATATTGATGCCAACGCTAACATATTGTAAAATTCCTACACATAAATGAAGGCAGAGTGGTGCTTTTGTACCCAACATATTTGCACATGATGTCTTCATGTGATTTTTCCATTCAGGGTACAAATGGAATCCTCAGGGACCCATGCTTTCACCCTGGATATGAAATAGTAATGAATGTAAGTGAACTTTACAGTGGCCCCTGCACCAAGAGATTTGAGATGACTCTTCCATTCGATGAGTTTCAAATCCAAGGCACTGGAAACTATCAACAATGCCATGAAAGCATCCTTGAACTCTTCAACACTAGTTACTGCCCTTACTCCCACTGTTCCTTCAATGGGATTTTCTTGCCACCACTTCACGGGGATTTTGGGGTAAGTTGTAAAATAATAAGGTATATTGATTAGGATGATTTGGGTTGCAAGTTATAGAGTATATGTCTACATGGTGTTTAAGTAATAGGATTTATTTTTCTCTCATATGATAATAAGCCTTGAAGTAGATAATTCTGGGTTAAGTCTTTGTTTTAACAATGTTAGGACTTGGATCAGCTTTCTTATTATCTTCTTGGCCTTTTTTGTGGTGCTAAGATGGCAGCTTCTGTTTCATATGCAAAACTAAAGCAGGGGAGGAGGAAGTTTCTCTTGCATACATTTCTGTCCAATTTTGCAGAAGTGCCAACAACTGTCTTTTCAGATGCCATTGGCCAGAATTTGATGAAATACACACTTCTAACCCATCTGTGAACAAGGGGGAATGGATTACCATGTTTGGTTTAGACTAATCATTGTTCATCCTTGGAAGTTGAGAGTCTTTCTTACACACATTGTGTTCCTCTACATGGGTAAAATCAGGAATCTGTAAGCCAGAAGAACGAGCTGGCTGATGGATAGGCACACCCATTGGGATCTGCCACAGGTGGCTTCATGAATGTCAGAAGAAGGAGAGGTAGCAGTTAGATGTCTTGGCTAAAGGTTTTCCTCTATAAAGTCAAGTAGAAACTTAGGAAATCCCAAGGAAATATTGAAGATAGCATCATTTATACTACATTTTGATCAGCTGGGGGACTAGTTGAATCCAAGCTCCAAATTCCTTTTTAATTACTCTAGAATAAGACAAAATATTTGAGCAGAGGTAGAAGAGGTGCTGCTTGAACTACTCATAATTCAGATTTCATATTTTGGTCCTGGAGACCAAGCATTATAATCATAGTTTAGTAATAGATTGCAAAATTAGCTACCATCAATTAAGACCAATTATTAACTAATTACTTAATTACTTAAGATATCACTCATAGAAAAAAAAAGGACTTTTATCTGCCTTCACACTCTTTCTCCCTTTCCCAGAAAACAGATCAGCATATGAGGAGAGAGGTTCAACTCTCCTATGGGACCCCCGCAGGAGAGCTTCACCCAAGGTCTCCTGGCTCAGCCCAATGTCACAGAAAGAGCTCCCTGGATAGAGCACAGGCCCTGTAGTAAGAGTACCTGCTTTAAATTCTGGATTTGCCACTTGTCAACTATATGAGCTCTTCATTCCCACGGTCTCTGGGAAAACAATAATGGGTGGTACCATGGATCCAGGCTTACCTTACCCATGGCCCAGACCATAGTTCCTCCTCCCCTCAAGGTTCCTGAGGGAAATAACATGCAAGAACAATGCCTGGCAGAGTAAGGCTTGGTGATTAGTTAGCTCCAAACCTAAATTTGTTACCAACTAGAACCTCACCTGGATGCCCTATAGCTGAACTGGCACTGGCAGCCCATATTGGACTTTTCTGAGCCAACGCAGTTGCCTTGGATCTAACTGCTGGAAGATAAAAGAGGGGGACACAAAAAGGAGGAAGGTAGTGAGGGGTGCTGGGGACAGCCAAGGGCCCTTTCCATTCCAGTCACTGATAGGAAGTACATCTGGAGGAAAAGAAATGTACTATTGTGTACTGACTTTTTAACTTTTCTGAAAGTTTCACCTCCAGGGAAATATAGCCCAATACTTGTCTTCAAGCATGAGCAAACCCTTTCTACTTGAGGGTGGTGGTGGTGGAATTTCTTGCCTTTGAATGTGATTCTTCCAACCAGGTAGTGAGAAGCGGAGTTGAAGGGGTAGAGGAGACTTGAGTTCCCCTTGGATGCCTTTTTGTTTGGTCTCTTTGTCCCTCGCTGAAATTGTTCTCCTTACAGCCTTCTGAACCTCTACTTGGCAGTCTCCTTAGACTAGCTCATTGTTTTCCTCTGAATAAGATCTTTTTTCTCTGAATATAGCCCTTAAGGTCAGCACTGTACCTGTACCTATTCCTGCTTTGGCAGTTTCTGTTACAGAACTTTTTTTTTTCCCCTCTGTAATTTCTCCCTAAAGCCTAAAAAAAAACTGTTTTGGTCTGCTTCCTCATTTATAAAATGGGGACAGAATTACCTGTCTCCTTGCTAGTTGTGTGTGATAAGCCAGACAAGTGGTGGTGGACTAGTAAATGTCTAACAACCAGCTCTCTGGGGATGGAGGGGCTAAATTGTGGCATTTGCCAGTTTACATGGTAGTACTCCTACCATGGCCCATTTTAATCACCATAATATCAACTGGCCCAAAAACTCTTGAAATTTTAACAATTAGCTCTTGTGAGTGGATAAGAGCCACCTCCAGCATATCACCACCAGTAGCAGAAAGCTAATGTACCCTAGCACCATGTGGGCCCTTAGTAAGTTTAGCCCTTTGTCCTAATGGTCCTCACCCTCAGCTGTTATACCTGCAGAAGTTCCCACTGCCAAGTTCTTCATCTGGAAGCATAACTATTTGCAACACAAAAATCCAGTTGCATTCCAATTATTTCCAGGACCAATTAGCCTGGGTATTCTCAAGCCACAGAGAATTTGCAGGGAGGGAATGTTTGCCACAATTACATTCAGTGCTGGTGATTTAATTCTTACTCTTTAAATAGTGTATTAAAAAACTGTCGATGTTGTTTTTCTCAGTTTGACTACATTGGTTGCTAGACAGAATCCAATTTGTAGGCAAATCAGAAACACCAAAAAGGAAAAGGGAACATCTGTAGAGAATTATTTATGAGGTAATTTAGAAAAATTTTTTAAAGATCACATTGTATCATTTATATAAACAAGAAAGAATGTAAAACAAATTCAAGAGGGAACTGGAATTAAAGAACATTAAACACTTGTTTGTTTCCATATGTATACATATACTTGTGGGGGGGGGGGTGCGCGTGCGCGCGCGCGCGTGTGTGTGTGTGTGTGTGTGTGTGTGTGTGTGTGTATTTAGCTCTGAGCTTCTGAGTAGCCAAGGGGAAAAATAAGACATAGCAAGATACATAGTTTTCATTATACCCAGCATACTGGGTCCCAGGACAAAGCAGAGCTATTCCACAATTGATTCCCAAGGATATTTTATAAAGGAGATTTCATTAGACAATGTCTTTGACCATATTTTTTTAAATTGCAATTTCTTATAGCAACTATAAGCTAGAGGCATAATATTAAAAAGCCAACTCAGTCATAGCAATTCTGTAATGGACTGAGGCAGTAGGTCTTTGATAGATACTCAGCTTGATAGAAGGGAAGAATTCAGAGTAGCTGGAAAAGGGGGAGACATGTATCTTTCAAGTCCTCTTTCATAAATATCTAAGCTGGAAACTGGAAGATGGGGAGCTGACCTTTTGAGACTATATGTTCTCTAAAGATGGCCTAGAATGTTACTATTCTCAGTTGCTGTTTAAATATGGGCCCACAGGTTATAGACACCAATCAATTAAAGGTTTATAAAGTAAGGCTAATTCCTAACATGGAGATTAAGAAGCTGATCACAGATTTTGACCTCAGTAGTACAGGCCATCCCCCTTAGTACCTAAAGGCAAAGTCAGGAATTCCTAGAACTAAGTCAGCATTTCCCTTAATAATTGCCTTTAGGTCCATTCTGGCAACAGAATGTCTATCTGATGTATGGAGTCTCCTAAATCATACCCCAAGAACAGAATCAGAATGATTTTTTTTCTTCCAGACTTTTAAAGAGTCATCTACCACAGCCATAGGAAGAAACTTGGTGATGTATCCTTGAACCATCTGATTTTGAGCAGTGTATCCTCATGAGGTATTAAAAGAAGAAGGTGGTTTTGTCATTCAGTATAATTCTTGGGATTATGAATAGAAGCATTCTTTAAAAAAAAAAAAACTTTTAGAGGGGCTCCTGGGTGGTGCAGTCGGTTGAGCGTCCGACTTCAGCCAGGTCATGATCTCGTGGTCCGTGAGTTTGAGCCCCGCGTCAGGCTCTGGGCTGATGGCTCAGAGCCTGGAGCCTGTTTCCGATTCTGTGTCTCCCTCTCTCTCTGCCCCTCCCCCGTTCATGCTCTGTCTCTCTCTGTCCGAAAAATAATAATAAATGTTGAAAAAAAAAAAACTTTTAAAATGTTTATTCATTTTTGAGAGACAGAGACATAGTGTGAGTTGGGGAGGGGCAGAGAGAGAGCGAGAGGGAGACACAGAATCTGAAGCAGGCTCCAGGCTCCAAGCTGTCAGCACAGAGCCCGATGCATGCAGGGCTTGAACTCACAAACCAGGAGATCATGACTTGAGCTGAAGTTGGACACTCAACCGACTGAGCCACCCAGGCGCCTCCCCAAATAGAAGCATTCTGAATAGGGTTAAGATTACTTTTTAATTACATAATGTAAATAAATAAAGGAAAACATACCCTAAATGTTATCATCCCATCCCATCTCATCAGCACTTAATTTTTGTGAGTTCAATTCCAATGCATGTTTGTATAAACAGTATTCCACCCTAGAAGAGACTTTTCCAAGGGATGTAAGAGGCCAGCTTAGATATTAAAACTCACCTGAGTGGGTTTCTGAAGAGCATATACAGCCAGGAAAACTATCAGTTAGGCCTTGACACATGAAGACTTTCAGAAAAGATTGACAGATATATAAAATGAAAAAACAAGTATGAATTTGAGTATGAATGGTTCCTGAGCAGAAGAGAAATAGATGACCTTATTCTGGAGCACAACTGCCCAAGAAAGAAAGATGAATAAACATATTCCCAGCTCAAACAGCAAGGAGGATTTGCCCCTGATTCTAAGACTTGATCTCTATTGTGACTACAGAGAAATAGTAATTTCTATAGTCTATTTCTATACGGAATATAAAAATAACATTATGATCTGAAAAAAAAATTTAAAAATATGTAAAGGAGATGACCTCATCAGGATGCAGGAGACTGAAGGGGAAGGACCCAGAAAGGGAAGCTGGTCAAACATCTAGAGCCAAGATGAAAAGCTAAGACAGGTGTTTCTCATAATGATCCATAAACAGATTCTGACAGTCACATTCAGGTGCGTGTTAACAAGGCTTTTCTTCCTTAAGGAATAT